TCCCCCTTAACTGGTTGAGCACGGAAGTCGGTCTCAAAATTGGTAAGTTTTTCCCATCGGTTAAAAATGTTGTGGTTGTGGGAGCGAGATTGCACAATGGTAAAATACTACGGCTGTTGGTGTCTGTCAATTTAGCAGAACCCCTCCCCCGTTGTGCCAGCCTATGATTGAGGGATCAAATAGTTAAAGTGAGCTTCAAATACGAAAAAACTTGTCAATCACTGCCATTATTGTGGCTTCATAGGCCACCTTGACAGAAGTTGTTCCAAGCGGCTCAACGACATCAAGAATGACTCAGTTAAAGAAGGCCAATATGGTGACTGGATGAGGGCCCAGATGGTCAATATTGGTCAGGAACAGGTACATCAGAATCCCACAGCCCTCCTCAATCTAACTCAGAGAAGCCCTCATCCTCTCCTCAAAATAATACGCTGCCTACAACTGGAAGTCAAGTAGAAGATAGTCAACAACAACTTCTTCCTCTCACAGTGGAATCTCATCAGAATGTTGGCTCAACTTCAAAAACATCTGAAGCCAGGCATCAACTTTCTCCTAAGCACAACTGCCTTCAGCATCAAGAATCTAGCAATTTAAATAAACAGCTGTCTGTGGTGCTCTCAGAACCATTAGCTCATGCTAGTGACATAGGCAAGGATATGGAAATAGAAATGCCAACTCCTCTAAAATCCCTTCAACTGCTCCCAAAACTCCAAAATTCTCAACCCAAAATGTGGAAAAGATCATTATAAAAAGTGGGAAGACTACAAAGGCAGAAAGAGGAACCACAACAGCAAATCATTTCACTCATGGGGAAAAGGAATAGAGAAGAAGATGACATAAATATCACAGACAGAGAGGGGAACATTATCAGCCAAGAAGAGAGCAAAAAGCTGAAAAGTCTAGAACCTAAGGTGGGGGTTGCCAGCCTCGAGTGGCACCCAAGTGATCAATGCTAGCTGCGGTGTGGAATTGTAGAGGGTTGGGTGGGCCCTCTATAGTTTCCCAAATCAGAGAGTTATTTAGAACTCACCACCCACACTTCTTCTTTCTTTATGAAACAAAAAAAAAAGTCATTTTGTCAAAACAGTAGCTAGAAAACTTGGTTATGACACCAGATGTTCTATTGTGGATCCTAGAGGCTTGAGTGGAGGACTTCTGCTTCTTTGGTCTGTGGATCTCCAGATTACGAACACAATCTGCAGAGACTTCTATATTGCAGTAGAGTTCTCTATCAATGACTCTGCTAAATCTTGGGGAATTTTTGTTTATATGAGCACCAACACAGTAGAAAGAGCTGCTCAATGGCTTCAGCTAGAGTCTGATGTGAATCAATAGGGTGCCAACTGGTTTATTATTAGAGATTGGAACGATATCATTTCCAACTCTGAGAGGAAAGGGGGCAATAAGAGGTCAGAAGCTAGCTTGAGGAGTTTTAAAGACTTTATAAACAGAATGGCAATGATAGAAGTCAAAATGGAGGGGTACAAATACACCTGGTGCAACAATAAATCTTCAGAGGGGCTTGTAGAGGCTAAGCTAGACAGAGGCTTTGGCTCTATTGACTGGCTAGCTTACTTCCCTACAGCCTCGATATCCAACATAGCCAGGAGTGGATCAGATCACTCTCTCCTACTATTGAGTTCAGGTGTTCAAAAAGAAAGAGCTAACTCTAGATTTCACTTCGATAAAAGGTGGCTATCTAGAGAAGGAATTAAGGAAGTGGTTAAGGGAGCATGGTCTGTCAAAGTCAGAGGTACCCCTTTTTATCAACTCAAGGAGAAAATCAAAGCCACAAGACAAGCTCTTCTTCAATGGAGTGCAAAATTTAGAACTCAGCAGCAATCCCAAATTAAGAACCTTAACAGAAAGCTCTCTCTTATTCAAGAAAATGGCCTGGAACACAACTGGGAAGAATGGACTTCTAAAAGAAAAGAACTGGAAGCTGCCCATCTGCAAGAAGAGATTTTTTGGCAACGAAAATCCAAAGCCAAATGGATCAAAGAGAGAGACCGCAATACCAAATTTTTTCATGCCCTTACTCTCCACAGGAGAAGGCAGAACGCTATAACCAGACTCATAACTAATCAGCAAAGGGTTTGCTCAACTCATCAAGAAATTTCTGATCACATTTCCAGTTTTTATGATACTCTCTTCTCTTCTGAAGGCTCCTGGGGTGGAGAATCTCTTCTACCCCTAATTCCAGTATCCATCACTGCAGCTATGAATCAAAGTCTTCTCAAACCAGTCTCTGAGCAAGAAATTCATTTGGCTCTTCTCAGTCTCAGTCCAGAGAAATCTCCCGGGGAAGATGGTATGACGGCCTTATTCTATCAATCCTTCTGGGACATCATTAAGCTGGATTTGATTGTTGCCATTTCCAGCTTCTTTGAAGGTAATGGCTCTCTCCTTAGATACTGGAACCATACGATTCCACCTTAATCCCCAAATGCCCTAACCCAGAACTGCTCTCTCAATATAGACCTATAAGTTTGTGTACTGTGGTCTACAAAATTTTTTCTAAGTTGATTGCTCTAAGACTCCAAAGCTGCCTGGACTCTTGCATCAGCTACTCTCAGGCTGCATTTCTCAAAGGAAGATAGGTTTTTGATAATATTGTTATAGGGCAAGAAGCTTTCCACTTCCTTAATAGGCATACATAAGGGAAAAACCATTTCATGGCTCTAAAATCAGAATAATGAAAGCCTTTGACAGAGTTGAATGGCTCTGCATTAAGAAGATCATGCTACAAATGGGCTTCCAGATGGAGTTTGTGAACCTGATTATGCTTTGCATTTCTTCCAGCTCTTTTTCCTGCAAAGTGAATGGTGCAGTATGTGGATATGTCATACCTTCCAGGGGCATAAGGCAGGGAGACCCTTTGTCTCCATACTTGTTTCTCATTGTTGCTGAAATGCTTTCTGCCCTAATTACTAATGTAGTTGATTCAGGAGACATTATTGGGCTGAAACTCTCTAGAAATGGCCCTTCTATATCTCATCTGCTATTTGCAGACGATTCATTGCTTTTCTGTAGAGCTGGGGATGATCAAGCTACCCATATTCTACACCTTCTGGAAAGATACAGATTATTTACTGGACAGAGGGTTAATCTCAACAAGTCAGCCATTTTCTTCAGCAGAAGCACACCCCAATGCCTTCAAGGGAAAATCTGTGACACATTACAAGGTATCTCTGTTCACAAATCAACAAGATATCACGGCCTGCCTCTTGGGATTGGAAAGTCAAAAATTCAGTCCTTCCAATTTGTCCTCGATTCTGTCAAATCAAATCTCAACAGTTGGAAGTCTAAACTCCTTTCTCAAGCAGGCAAAGAGGTACTTCTCAAAGCAGTTATCCAATCTCTCTCTGTCTATTCAATGTCTTGCTTTAGGCTACCTGCTTCTCTTTGTGCTGAGATCACTGGACTTTGTTCTCATTTCTGGTGGAAGAAAGGTGAAGAACAGGCTTTATTGGAAAAGGTGGGATTTTCTTACCTTGCCCAAATCTGCAGGAGGTATGGGATTCATTGACCTGAGAAATTTCAATATTGCCCAAATTTGCAAACAACTCTGGAGAATAACTACCCAACCAAATTTGTTAGTTAGTAGAATTTTGAGAGACAGATACTTTCCAGATTGTTCCATTTTTTCTGCTGTCAAAACTCAAAAATGTTCCTGGCTCTGGTCCAATTGGTTGGAAATTGTCCCTATATTTGCTAAAGGCTTTGCTGTGGAAATCAGAAATGGGGAATTCACCAGACTTGATGATGTTAACTGGATTCCAACATCCTTACAGCCAAAGCCTTTTCTGTTGGAAATTGCTAGGGGTCATATTCACTGGGTTAAAGATTTACTTAATGATGCTGGTACTGGTTGGAATGAATGGTTGATAAAACAACTTTTCAATGAGTCTGATTGCAGGGCCATCCTCAACATCTGTACTCTCAAACCTGGACACTCAGATAAACCTTACTGGAAATTCAACAGGAAGGTTTCTTTTTCTGTTTCCAGTACCTACTCCTTCTTGACAAAACTGAAAGCCACTGAGATGGACATTCCAAGTTGCAGCAACCCAAACATTCAGAAATCTCTCTGTAAGTTTTGGAATTTCAGAATACCTGGCAAGCTTAAACAGTTCATATGGCAGTGCATTCATGGAATTCTACCTGTTAAAGCCAATTTGTTAAGAAGAGGGTTGAGTTTGGATCCTATCTGTAAAAGCTGTGGAGACTGCATTGAATCCATTGATCATCTGTTCTTCCATTGCCCCAAAGCAGTTCAAGTCTGGGATATTGCACCTGTAAGATGGAATGCCACTGTCTTTGCTGGTTCTTTCAAGGGCTGGTGGAGCCACATATGTTCCATCCCAGGCTCTAATTTGGTAGAAGAACGCATACAACTCACAACTTATATGCTCTGGTGGTTATGGAAGTGTCGCAACCTCTGGATATTTCAAGGACTCACCATACCAGCTCATACCATTATTAAATTGGCCCACAGAGATTGGTTGGACTTCTCCCAGTCCTAACTTCAGCTTCATCTCTCCTTTTGCTCTGGCTCGGTTTGCTCTAGCTGCTTCTTCTTTTTTTCATTTGTATTGGTTTTTATCTTAGCTTTGTTTTTTTTTTTTTTTTT